AAAAAAAAAAAAAAATCACCACGGGGCGGGGGGGGGGCAGGGATGGGCTGGGGGACACAAAAACCTATGCTTGAACTGGCCATCTCCTGTCACCAAAACAGCCTTTCAATACTAGGACTGGGTTTCATTTAATTGAATTGTTGGCCAAGGAAGTTCTATGGAAATCCCCAAACAACCCAGACTGTTGCTATGATAATGAGTTTCTCTCTGCAAACTGACAGTGGGATCCTATTGTCAAGGACAGCACCCAGGCATCTCATTGAACATGGAGAAGTTGAGCTGGTGCCTACATGCAGCTTTCACTGCTATGTTCTAGTGTCTTTGGTGTGGGAGGGTACTCTGTAGGCTACAAAAAGAGAAATGTAAACATCAAGTTAGCCACAAAATCTTTGACCTACATTCCATCCTGCCTACAAATAATAATAGGGCAATGATGGCACAGAACTGGTGGGAGTAGCCAACCAATGTCTGATTTGACTGAAGACCCACTCTAAGAAACAGGAGCCATACCTAACATTGATTGGGCAACCAGAGACTAGATAGCTCAGAGACCAAGGGTAAAACCAAATTCTTCACTACTTGTCTAAAAATAAATCAATAAAATGACTCCTAATGATTTTCTGCTATATTCATAAATCAGTGTCTTATTCAGTAATTCTCAGAGTTGCTTTCTCCTGCAGCAGATGGAAACAGATGAAGAGACCCACAGCCAGACATTATACAAAAAGAGAGTCCTTGAAACACATCTTTGATGGAATGTGCCCATCAATTCCCTCTCCTCAGAGCTCAAGAAACTCAGTGGAAGAGGAGGCAGAAAGTGTGTAAGAGCCAAAAGGATTGGAGGGCACCAGGAGAACAAGGCCCTCTGAATCAACTGAGTGACTTTCATATGAACTTAGAGACTGAAGCAGCAAGCACAGGGCCTACATGAGTCTGCATCAGGTCCTCTGTGCAGATATTATTGCTTTCAGTTCAGTATTTTTATGGGACTACTGAGTATGTGAAAAAGTGGGTTTTTGATTCTTGTACCTACTCTTGGGACTCTTTTCCTTCTGTTGGGTTGTCTTGGATAGCCTGAATGTGATTTTTTTGTATTATCTTATATTTTATTTTGTTATGTTTGCTTGTTATCTCTCAGAAGCCTGTTCTTTTCTGATGAGAGACAGAAAGGGAGTGGACATGGAGGGGAGGAAAGATGGGGAGGAATTAGAAGCAATACAGGGGGGAGAAACTATAATCACAATATATTGCATGAGAAAAGATTCTATTTTCAATGAAAAAAAAACTATTCCTCGATTGCAAGCTGTACAATATTACTATAGCAGCACTTTAATTGCCAAAGTAAATGCACAGATGTAAAGAAGAAAAACCAGACCTCATCACTTGGTAGAGAAATAGCTGGACATTCAGAAATGAGAGGAAAATATTGGCAGCCATCTTTCCAGACAAACTACTATAGTCCATAGTATGAAAATGAATCTAAAATTTGTAGCACAGAATCTAATGTAAAAGATGAAAGAAAACAAAATATGTGTTATTTATTGCTATCCATTTTGTCTAGAAAATAACTCTACATCGATGTTATCATAGAAAATCCCAGTAAATATAAATGATTTGGATATTGATAGAGTCTTTGTGGAAGAAACCATGTTTCATGTACAGATAAAAATATTTAAGGTATAAGTAGACAGTGGTAAAAAGCAAGTTTATTCCAAACTAAACAAACACCATAAAATATTAAATTTCAAGGTTTCAGGAAAATGCTTAGATGGTAGTATACAAGTATGTTTGTGAATGTGTGTGTGTGTGCATGTTTGTATGTGCATGTATGTATGTATGTATGTGTATATATGTGTGTTCATGTGCATATGCTTGTTTGTGTGTACTTGCACACTGAGTGTTACATAAAGCATAATCATGTGTCTTAACGTTAGTCCTGGGGCATGTAGCTAGGAAAAATATATAGAAGCTGATGGCAAAATATATTAACTACTGAAAACATTAGTTAGCTGCTATGGATGTCTTTCTGTATGCTGTGAATATTTGTTGCTCTGATTGGTTGATAAATAAAGTCATTTGGCCTAGGAAGCTTAGAGGCAGGAAATCTAAATAGATAGACAGGAAGAGAAAGGAGAGGCAAGGCAGATGCGGCTACTCACCACCAGGAGAAGCAAGATGTAAAAGTATTGGTAACCCACAAGCCATGTGTCAAAGTATAGATTTATAGAAATGGGTTAATTTAAGATAAAAGAGCTAGCTAGCAAGAAGCTTGAGCCATAGGCCATGGCCATGCAATTTGTAATTGATATAAGCCTCTGTGTGTTTACTTGGGACTGAGTGGTTGCAGGACCAGGTGGGACACCGAAATTTTATAAGTGGCTGTGGGATCTTGGTACTGGGGTAAGATCAGGAAAACTGGCTACAAATGGCACCCTCCCCGCTTAAAAAAAAATGGATTTTAAAACGGCTTCTTGCTGTGTCTCTCAGGCCAGCCACAGCTTGTGGGCTTGAGCTACAGTATGGCAGGTTTGCAGTGTGTGGGCTTGACCTGCAGCATGAAGGATTCCCACCATGGTAGACAAAGTCATCTCCAAGCCATGCAGTACCCTGCATAATGGATGTAGCTTTTGCTAGTACAGAGAAAAGAAAGAAAAACAAAAAAGGTTTCTGGGCTACACGCTGATGGATGGAAGCATGGACCCACTGCCTCCCAGAGTCAGCAGAGACCATGACTCCTAGAGCTGATGGTGAATTATCTCCACCATGTTGAAAAGCCAAGATGGGTGGAGTCAAAGCTGCCACTTCAGTACTATCCATGCTGTAGTTTAAAGCAATGGATACACAATTCAAGACAGATTCAAATAAAATAAAACTCTAAACAGTTTACATTATATGTAAAAATGTAGGTAGGCTTGGAAGAGAGAGGAAAAGAAACATACACAGTTATATAAAGAAATAGTTTTAAAAAATAAAGTTTTTAAAGTGACAGTAAAAGTAACATAAAAATAAGCCACATAAAGATGGAAATCTCACAGATAGTCTGGATTATATTGTCTTCAGGATTTTTAACTGCAGAGGGATATTTGATTATAAAAGCTGCCGAGTTAAATCAATATGTATATTTTAAAGATATTTCAATTTCAAAATTTGTGTCTACAGATACATTGCTTTAGAAAAGAGGTTCTGCTTTTGTTTTCACAGAAGATGAGAACCTGTGGATTGTTTCCAGGCTAATATGGTTTGATCAAGGAAGACCCCCTGAGAGACCCAGATGATCCAACATCCAAAAACACCTTCAAGGCAACTGGCTCAGAGAATACAGCACCACAGACTATCTTGGTGCTGGACAAGACCAGGAAAACCTCTGACTACAGTTAGCAGGTCTGCATGATCAGTGATTAGAAGCAAAAAGGAAGTTCCTTGGGATTTTTTCATTTTTCTAGGAGATAATATTGGGTTAGCATTTTCATCACTGACTCATCATCAGCAACTAGGTTTAATTTAATTCACTTAATTAAAGGAAGTGCATCCAAGCCCACATTAATGTCCTTTATCATCAGTCAGTGACACTATGCTATTGGTAGGTGTGTGGAAGAACCCCTTCAGGTAGCCTCATCAAAACCTTTGCCTGTTCAGCACTGACAGAGGTGATAAAGATTCAGATCCTGCCTTTGTGACACACTGGGAGTGCTGAATGATTACTTGCCTAGACACTGATGAGCTGTCTCCCTTCTGAATCAGCACCCTCTCCCACGGACTGGAACTTATCTCTGCTGCCAAATGAGATTACCTGAGGAGACCATAATTGGCCCAGTCATACCCTAGGAGGCAACCTAACATGTCTAAATGCCTGAAGTCAGGGTTTGACAGGATACAGACCTCATAAAGAACATGCTTGAAATTCACAGTACAGGACTATTTCTGCAACTCACTAGCACCAGGGAAGGTGAAAGCTATTTTGAAAATCATGTCTCTTTAAGGTTGTGAATGGTTTGGCAGGGAGCTGCTCTACAGTTCTCTTCAAATGAGAGACTGCCTATCACAACCATCACACGTCAGCTGTTTCTGTTTTATATTAAGATAGTTTCTGAGTGCAATGAAATAAAATAAAAGAGCAGCACATAGGTTTGCTCAGACACAGCCTGATGAGCCACTCCAGACCCAGCAGGAACAATTTACAAACTTCATTGTAAACAAGGGATTTAACTGGAGCTATCTGTATTACTTACTTTCCTCAGTCTTGTGATAGTTACTTAACAAGGAACAACTTGGAATAATTGACAAGGATCAAGAAGGTAGGGCTTGTTCCAGCTCATAGTTTGAGGGAATTTAGTGGCAGAGAAGGCATGGTGGCAGGAGCTTGAAGGGGCTGTTCACATAGCATCAACACTCAAAAGTAAGGAGAAGACAGGGAATGGGGCTTGCCTATCAAATCTCAAGGTCCGTCGCCACTCCCGCATTTCATCCAACAAGGCTCATAGCCTCCATAAACAGCACCAACAACTAGGGACCAAGAGTAGAAACATATGAGCTGATATGGGACATTTTGCACTCAAACTCAGCAACATATTAGAAAACAGTGAATTCTACTGGATATAGTTTTGTCCTGAGTATTAAAAAAGAATACCCATTATATTTGCCAGCCTAGCTGAGTAACCCAGTATTTTTGCAAAGGATAGTTTTAACTCACTGTCTTTGGTTTTCTCAGAGAATCCAGTTCCTCCTTCCTGAGCTCAAACATCTGATTATATGAATTTTCTTCACAACACTGACTCTGTGGCATATCAGCTTCCAGCTTAATAACACTCCCTTTGAATGAACCAGTTTTCATTTCTAAAATAGAAATATACAGCAATAATTGGAAAAATGGGGAAACATGTGGGGGGCCTACCCATTTCCCTGTGGGAGGCCTGTTCCCACTTTTCCCCCAGGGTACTCTTGAGAAGGGAGAGTGACAAATATTTAGATAGAAGAATAAAGGGGAGAGAAACATATAGAAACACAGGATAGCCTTGGGAGGGTCTGGATACTTATCCACCAGCCCCTTCTGTCTCTTCTAAAGGGACTTTTGTAGGAATGTCAAGGGGTAGAGCAAAAGACCTCCAGTTAGCACAGCCAAGTGCAGACCCTTTCAATCACCTGGTAACCACACATGTGGTCACGTAATCCTCTAATGTAGTCCTGCTGGGTAAAGCAAGATCAGCTCTCACTAGGAAACCTCTGTGGGCCTCCATAGAAACATCATGTTGGTACAAAACTAACATACTTTTTTTCTGTGCTTAGTACTTTTGCAAAACTTTGTGTAGATTTAGAGAGAGGAAAAAGTCAATGAGATAATTGAAAGCTGAAGTTTGTTTCATAGTTAGACATCATCTCCTAGGACAATAATCATGTTTCATTTATAAAGCTTTTATTGAATTTTGAAGTAACTTAAATTTAATTATGTCTAAAAAGGCAACTTTAATTATAACATAGAAAAACCTAATCTAACCTGTATCTCATGTAGTTAGAAATTGATTATTATACATACTGAAAGTATAGTGTAGGTAAAGATGAGTTAATTCTGGTGTGTGTGTGTGTGTGTGTGTGTGTGTGTGTGTGTGTGTGTGTGTGTAGAGGCAAGCATGTGTCAAGGCATGTATGCATGTAGGTCAGAAGACCTTCAAATGTCAGCTCTGTCTTCCACCTTGCTTTGAGAGAGGTTCTCTTGTTTTTAATCAGTGTGCACTAGGCTAACTGACCATCAGGCTTCCAGGGATTCTCCTGTCTCTGCCTCCCATTTCACTGTGTGAGTGCAAAGATTGCAGGTGTGCATTAAATCATCCCTTTATGTGAATCCTGAAGATCTGAACTCAAGTCCTCACACTTACATGAACAAATATTTCATCAATGAGCCTTCTCCATAGCCCTATATTCCACTTCTCAATGAAAAGACAAGCAGTGTGTTATTGCAAACACATAATTTTGGTTGCAAAAGAAATTAGTACTGTTTATAAGATAGTGAACACATTTACTAGAAACTATGATGCTGGGTTGATTCCTGAATGTCTTAGAATTTATCAGCAATGGCAAAAATCAGAGGAACAATAACTTTTGGATAATATTTTAAAGTGATATGAATTATTCTAAATCTCTTTATACTCAATTTGTTATTCTACTCTTATAAAAACTTGATGTTTATCGAAAAGCATTCATGATATAATATAAAGAACATAAGCTTGAGGTCAGAAAAATCTATGCTTGATCTGGCATTTGCCTTTTATTTGTAATATGAAAATAACCTAGGGAAACTAAATCACTTTAGTTAATTTAGTGATTTAGTTTCTCCGTGGATGATTTTCCAACCTACAAATGGAAATATGTCAGTTTTTATCCTTTAAGAAGCTGCTTCTATAGCATGGTTCAATGTCAAGGAAACACCATCAGAATAAAAAGTGATGGAGGAAGAGTGTGCTGAACATTCCACAAGTCTGATGCTGTAAAAGGCAAAAAGCTATGCTTTGACTTACTCATTGATGTGTCAAGAGGGTGAGTATTCTCTGGCACATGAACCAAGTTAACAGGCTCTTATTCTGCAGTGAATAATGCAGGGAAAAGGGGCTGGCTTAGGAAACCCACCCTGATGCTAGAGCCCAGAATTAGGGAAGGATGGCTCAGATAAGGCCAATGAGGGAAACACAGTTTAGCTCAGATCAGAGCCATCTCTGCCCCTGTCCAACTGATTTGTGAAACCAACCAATCACAGAGCAGGATAGTAGAACCCTGGGGTTGACTCCACCCCCTAGACTTCCTGTAAAAACCACCCTGCCTAGTCAGTTAGAAAGAAAGCCTGTTCTGTCCACCCTGGTAGAGGCAGCTACTCTCCTGGACTCCTCCTTCCCAAATAAACCACTTGCTTAAAAGAGTTTTTGGGGTGTGAAGATCTTCATTTACTGGCATAGAGAAGATCCTTGCTGAGATGTCAAATTTCAGTGCAAAGATCAAACCCAATACTGAATGCAATGTATGTGCTATACTGGCTATTTTTTTTTATGTCAATTCAACATGAGCTAGAATTATTCTGGAAGAAGGAACCACACTTAAGAAAATACCTTCACCAGACTGACCTGTGGGAAATTCTGTGTTGTATTTTCTTGACTGATAATGATAATTGATGTGGGAAGATCCTTATCACTGTAAGTGATCTCTGTGCTGGCTATAAAAAACAGGCTGAGCAAGCCTTATGGAGCAAACCATAAACAGCACTCTTCCATGGTCTCTGCATCAGCTTCTACCTTTAGGTTCCTGCCCTGGCTTCCCTCAGCAATGGAGTATGACCTGAGAGTTGTAAGCTGGAATAAACACTTTCCTCTCTGAGTTGTTTATAGTCATTGTTGTAGATGTAATTCTAAACGGTCTTATTCAATAAGAAACACAGAGCCAAATAAAGAGTTAAAAGCCCAGAAATCAAGCATTAGCCAAGAGCTAAGACCACCTTATCTTACCACTAGCTGCTGCCTTTCCCCTGGGAGAGAGAGACCTTCTTCCTGTGTCCTGTCTTTTTATTGAATTTCTGTTCTGCCTTCTCATTGGTTCTAAACCTAACCACATGACTTCTTCGTCACAGCCTGTCTATACAGACCTCCAGGTCTCTATGGTTGGTACTGGGATTAAAGGCATGTGTCCCCATGCTGGCAATGTCCTTGAACACACAGAGATTTTGCCTGCCATGTGATCAGATGAAGGGCATGTGCTACCACTACCAAACTCCTGCTTAATGGCTTGCTCTTAGCTCTGATCCCCAGGCAACTTTATTAACATACAAATAAAATCACATTTCAGCACAAATAAAATATCACCATACATAGTGTTTATCACAGCAACAGAAACTGTAACTAAGACATATGCTTAGTACAATAGTATTTCATATCCACAAACCACAGTGAACATCTATTTTATTGTTACCAAGTTCACTTCACAGTCTTCATTGTGCTCTGTGGCCTGTCTCCTATATGCAATGTTGGTCCAGGTAAATCAACCATGTATATATAACTCATTTCTACTGTATTAGATGCATTATCTTCACTTGGAGTGGGCAGGTGACTCAAAATAAGCTCATGACATCTCTTTCCTGGGAGCTGAGAGATGAAAAAAAAAAGCCAATCTGCTTACTCTCCAGATGGTTGGAACTTCAACATGAGAACTGAGGATGTTGCCGTAAGTATAGAATGTCACGATGTCACTAGAAAGAAAAATGAAGAAGGGTAAAAGGACTGTCCTTTCAGACTCAAACCATTTACATCTCTAAATGCCTGATATATTCACATCTCTTATTTATGTTGCACATAAACATATTGTATACTATATTTCAACTTACTGTCTTTAGATCATGGGCTTTGATAAGAATGTCTTCCAACTATATTCCAACAAATATAAGTGTGGGGTTTGACTGAATTTAAGCATTGAAGTTCTCTGTCATTCTGAAATTATGACAAAACAACAAATAAGATAAATAGAAACACAAATAGGTCATCTACACAGCAATCTTGCTTTTGAACAAATAGAGGCTTCCTAAACAGGAGTCCCTGGTGGCTTCCTACTTACAATAAGAATATTAAACATCCAAATTTAAAGTACACTGAAAAATATATTTAAACTATATGAAGAAAACAAATTGCTTGAAAACGCTTACCAGAGTGTAATTATGAAAATGAATAGAGGGGTTTTAAATGTAGGGAATTAGTAAATAGAGAGACACAATTTGCAAGGCTATTTCTTCATAGCTTAGAATTCTTCAGTATTAAAAGACATTCATGGGGTTTTAGCAGAAATTACTTAATTGAAAGTATTTAAGTAGATGGTGGATGATGGTTCTCATGTGGGTATGCAAAAATTGATTCCATTCTGTGCAAAAGACTGAACCAGATTCTAATAACTCCATCATTTCCAATTTAAAAAAATAACCTCCTTTATAATATAGTACCTGAAGCATCAAAGAAACTGAAAAGATTCTAACAAACATATAGAAAATGTTTATTTTTATCACAATAGAAATGGACACTAGAACACTCAATTTGATCATCTGTAAGTTAAATAATCTTACAATATGTAGTATTGGCAAGAATAAGTAAGATCAGTTCTCATACTGCACAGGCAGTTCTTTTCAATGTTCTTATGTTAATAAATATGCTTGTACGTAGAAAACTGGTAGTGTATGTGTATCCCAATCCAATAATTCAAAATTCTGTTTTATAAATGAGTTATCCTTGCATACTAAACAATAAAATGTGTGTGTGTGTGTGAGTGTGTTTATGTGTATTCATTGATAACATAATTTTAAATGATATAATTGAAACAAAAAGGTGAAGGCAATGGCTCAGTTGGGAAAATGCTTGCAGCGCAAGCATGAGGACCTGAGTTCAGATCCCCAGTACCCAATAAAAATTGTACTTGGTGAAACTTGACAGTCATTTCACCATTCCTACAGCAAGATGACAGGCAGAGACAGGAGACTCTCCAAAAGCTTGTGAGATAGTAACCATAAGATACCTTGCTTGAAAGAAGATGAAGATGAGGACCAACACCCAAACCATGACATACATGTGCCTGTCCCCTTGTACACACACACAACTGTGTTAACATTTAAATCATATACCCATCTACAGACAAATTTATGATATATGATACAGTCATAAAACTAAGTTCTAGGGTTGGAGACTTAGCTCAATCAATAGAGCCCTTTGTAAGTAGCATGTGCAAAGCCCTAAGTTCTAGCCATAGCACTGCATAAACTGTGTGTGATTCCAGCACTTGGGAGGGAGAGGCAAGAAGTTCTTAAGTTCAAGGTCATTCTTGGCTACATTGGGGTTTGAGGTCAACCTAGGATACTAATGCTAGTAAAAATAATACTAATAGTATTATAGTATTAGTAGTATAGTATTATAATTACTAATAGTAATAGTAATACTAATTCACTTAAGAAGTGAATACAAACGAAGGGAAGGAGGGAGGGAGGCAGGAAAGCAGGCAGACTACTAAATCCTACAGAGCAGTTCAAAAGAGTTTTCTAGATCCATATAAAACTAGTTAGGTAGCAAAATGTTGCTACAAAAATTATGGAAATTGGTGTAGGGGTCACATACCATATGAGACCATTTCAGCCTCTCTTTGTTTTGCAGTCACCAGGAGTATATACGCAGTCACAAAATTTATTAGTGGAAATGTATGCATGGCAGGAAATAGGAAAGCGGCTGGGAAAAGCAGGGAAAACCTTAAACTATGGTGAAGGGGCAGGTCTGAGCAGGGTCAGAATTATTACTTTTGTAAGATGGGTTTTTGAAAGCTCTCTTTAAAAATTTAACTAACAATAGGAGCCAAACAGACATGGATTTCAGCAACTAGTGTTTGTAGGAAATAGAGAAGAATATGTGGCAAAAGGAAGCTCAAGGAGACTGGAAAGGATTAACATCTCAAAAGAATGTTTTCATCTTAACTTATTTCATGCTATAGATCTCCACTAAGTTCCTAGGGATAAAATCTTTCCAGGTTTGTGTCTCTATTGTCTTTTTGGATGGGGAGTGTTATATTTGGGTCAAACCCTAATGTAGCCAAGAATGACCTAGAACTTAAGACCTTCTTACCTCTTCCTCCAAAATGCTGGGATTAAAAGCTACACAGTTTATGCAGTGCTGAGGATGGAATTTAGACCTTTGCACTTCCTAGTTGCAAAGTACTCTACTGACCAATAGAAGTCATAAGCTTTCAGCTCCAAGCTTTAATTGTATGATTATATCATATCTTGCATATGCGTTTATTGGTGAGAATTAACATTATTTAAGTGTAAACATAAACACACATTTGTGTGTGTGTGTGTGTGTGTGTGTGTGTGTGTGTGTGTGTGTGAATGCGGGTATGAGACACAGTCTCAAAAGGTAGAGATGGGATTTCTAGAGCAAGGTTACTAGCCAGACTAGCCAAATCAGGCAGTTCTGGGTTTGATTCAAAAACACTATCTCAGATCTCAGTAAATGAGATGAAAGAGCAATCTCTCTCTCCTTTCTCTCTCAAATGCACACACACACACACACACACACACACACACACACACACATACATATGCAAATCTTAAAAGCACAAGCACATGCATACATACAACTGCATACTACAAGGCCCATACATGCACACCCAAAAGGCAAATAAATACATTAAGACTTATTATGAACATTTGGCACTAGGAATGCATACACTGACATAAACATAACACTGAAAAATAAATTCAGATAACTTTTATCCCAATGTATGTGTGCTTGGTTGAAAATAAGCTCCTTAAATGTTGGATGACATAGAAACCACTGTAAAACAGATGCAAGTTCATTTATACATCAAGTAAAGTGTGAGGTGCAGGGGCAGGATAATGTTGCCAGATAAAATAAAAATGTTTTGATTTCATACAGACAGCTAGTAATGAGATCATTGTGACACATTCATCCAAACATTTGTTGATATCTCTAGAGGAAAGTGCCCTCTTCTACTAGCCACTTCTGTGAAAATCACTGATTCATAAATCACATTTCTAATTTACCCATCAGTTTCACAGAACCCATTGTTCTGCATTCAATCATTAATTTGATTCCACTTTAATGCAGAGTACAATGCAGCATTCATGTAGTGATTACCAATACTGGCTCCTTTGATGAAGAACATTGGTTCTTTG